TCTTTCACGTCAGAATTCTTGTTTAATTTTCCAATAAATGTAGAGGTTCAGTGAAGCTTTCGGTTTTCTTGGAACCCCCAAAATGGAAGAAATCCAAAGTTCACGGATTTTACCAACCAATTTCTTCATTTCTTGAAGGATTCAGTTCTGAATGTGTTTTCGTGAACCAGAATTCAGGATAAAAGCTAAATTTTGAATGTTGAGAATCTGTGGCGTGTTTCTTTCAATGGCATGTGTGTTTGAGAAACTGGCTTAGTTATTAAACTTTCTCTCAGGGTTCTTTTTTTTTTGTGAAATTTTCTATCAGCACTTCGTCTCGGGCTGCCTTTTGTACCGAGTTATCTTGGGCAGAATGGAAGAGTGGAAGGTATGATTCAGGGATTGAATTATGCATCAGCTGGTGCTGGAATCATATTCACCAGTGGTTCGGAATTGGTATGTTTCAAATTTTCCCCTCAGTTGATTGATAATATTGCACCAGAAAGTCAGAAATGTATTAATTTTGATATTGAACAAGAAGGCTTTTAAGCCTTTCAAGTGCTGTTAGCTTTGCAATATAAGCTCTTCATTTAATATGGTTTGATTGGGTATTTAAGGCTTCTTGATTTTGAATGACTTCGACTCTGCTGGGCTATTCCAACTATCAACCATTAGTACTGATGTAAAGTTTTCTACAGGGTCAACATGTTTCCTTCACCCAGCAAGTTCAGCAGTTTACAGATACCTACCAGCAGTTTATATTAAGTTTGGGCGAGCAAGCTGCTATTGATCTCATCTCAAATTCAGTGCTTTACATTTCAATTGGAATCAATGACTATATACATTACTATTTGCGTAATGTATCTAACGTGCAAAATCTGTATCTACCGTGGAGTTTCAATCAGTTTTTAGCATCTACATTGAGGCAGGAAATTAAGGTGATCTCCTAACCCTACTGATTTAACATATTCTTGTCTTTATATAATGATGGTTTCTAAAATAGCCTCCCAATTTGGAGTCTAACTGATTACTTAGAGATCTTGGTTTACTTTGATGGTGCAGAACTTGTACAGCATAAATGTCATGAAGGTGGTTGTGATGGGGCTGGCACCTATAGGCTGCGCTCCTCACTACTTATTTCAGTACAGAATGAAGGATGGACAGTGTGTTGAGGAGATAAACGACACGGTGATGGAGTTCAACTTTGTGATGAGGTATATGATTGAGAAGCTACGCGAAGAGCTTCCTGATTCCAACATCATCTTCTGTGATGTGTTTGAAGGTTCGATGGATATAATAAAAAACTCTGAACATCATGGTGAGAGGTTTTCTAAATTTCTTTTTCCCCTGTTACCAAATCTGTTAGTGGTGTCCTCATCTAATGCAGTGTGAATTATGATCATGTTCAGGTTTGAATGCCACAGCTGATGCTTGCTGTGGGTTGGGGGAGTACAAGGGTTTTGTCATGTGCTTATCACCAGAAATGGCTTGCAGTAATGCTTCTAACCATATCTGGTGGGATCAATTCCATCCAACTGATGCAGTCAATGCCATCCTGGCTGATAATGTGTGGAATGGCCTGCACACAAAAATGTGCTATCCCATGAACTTGGAGGAAATGGTAGCGTTTGACTCCTAAAGATTGGATGGAGAATCTGAGGAAATAGTTGTATGCTATATAAACAGAGATTCGACGAAGAAGACTAAAGCATATCATGCAAGCATGTCACCCCTGCTTGGAAACATGACTGAGATTGTGAATTTGATGTTACATTTCACTATAGAGGTGGCATTGCCAAATTGTTGGCTGATGTCTGTTGGCAACTAAAATGTGTTTTCTGGTTTATGCAATGAGATCCAATTTAGAGGTAGTCGCTAGTTTCATCTTCAATGTCTCGTCTCAGCACAAAACTAGGAAAAGCACTTGTGATATCCCTGCAATGAATATCAACTTCAATTTAGCTTGTGTTGATCATAAATTTACAGGATGGCAACCAAATTGAAATTGAAAAATAGATATTGTTTTGAGTTTTTTTTATTCGGTACAAATCGTTTTTAGGTTTTCACTGGTTGATATGTGAAAAGTATCAGAAGAAAAACAGAAGGCTGGGACTATAAGCAAAAGAGGAATTACTTCAGGTATGGAACTGTCATGTTCTTCAATAAGGACGGATTTCGATCCACGAGTTCCCTCCACTCTTCCAGATCAATCTTTCCATCTCCATTTAAATCTGCTTCCTCAAATGTCTATGGAGTTACAAAGCAAAAGATGTACTCAGTTGATACATGACTAGGCGGATTACATGTACCACCATCTTGCATGCCTTACCTTATCAATAATGGCTTCCACAATGTCATCAGAGAGGATCAAATCTGACTCCTTCAGAAGCGCCAAAACCATCTCTTTCACCTTCAAACACTACTTCAATTAAATGCTTGGATTTGAAATAAGCTTTAATGGATCTTCTCAAGGTGTCTATGTTAATCATTGCGTTAAAAAAAATAATGATTGCCTCTGTTTAGGACATGACAAGAACTAGGACTTGAAAGTGACTCTTTACCTCTTCACGTTCGATGAAGCCCGTCTGCCATATATCGTATAACTGAAATGCAACTGCCACATATTCTCTCAAAGTTTTAGTATAATCTTTACACATATAAGCAGGTTCAAATAAAAATGTACAGGATTGCTTACATGCAGCTTTTTCTGCTTGGGGTGCTTCTGGGTGGAACACACTTAGACATCGAATAAACTCTTCAAATTCTATTACCCCGTCATGTTTCGAGTCAAACATATAGAAGATCTATTAGGATAAGCAAGGTCAAGATAAGTTGTCCCCAAAAAACCACAGAGAATGTTAGAATGGCAGTAAAAAAGATCAGCATTCCAAATTTTAGGAAAAGCTACAAGTTACAATTTAAGTGTTACTTTCTTTCCCAAGTGCCAAAAAACTCAAAACCGACTTCAGGAAGCTCACCCTATCTGCAAAGAGACTTTGTTTTTTGCTGTTCCTGAATAAACCTAGCTGAAACTCTTCCTGCAAACGAAGTGTAGAATGATAACATAACACCAAATAATAGCTTTATAATATGTTCAAGCTTCATATCGATTCGAAACTAGAACCGATTTTTCAGTAATGGAACAGCAAGATGTTCAGCTACATGTAAACTTACTTTGCTTATAAGCCCATCATCAACTATAGAATTGCTTAGCTTCCTGAACAACTCATACAGAGTTTTAATATCAGTTATCTTAACTGCAAATACCAAAAATCGAAGTTATCAGAGTCATGAGGCGAAACCTAAAACAGAAAACTGCACCATAAAACAAGTAAATGAAAACAAAATGAAGCTTACAACATGTTTGAGCAGCAAGAACATCTGCATTGTCACATTGATGCCGCTGCTTCATGCAGACACAGCCCATCTAATCAATCTATGTGAACAAAAATTGTGTTCTTTGAGGAGAGTAAGTATATATGTCATATCATAAGTGTTATCCAATAGAAGGTATATAGCTTTCAATGTGAGAGCCAGGGGTGGCCCTGAGGGTGTGCAAGTGGTGCCACCGCACAGGGCCCCTGATTTTTGAGGGGCCCCAATTTTTTTTTATGTGTATAATATATGTAGAGTGCTAGAAAACTTGCTTGTGTTAAAGGCTTGTCCGATGTCAACACCAACATTCAATATCTCATCTAGTTTCACAACCACAAACTGAAATAATAAATACCCGATCACAAGGAATTAGTCAGTAATTATGCTCATATATTCATTTTCGCAAAAATAATGCATCCAACTAAGTCAACCAAAATAATTGCATCAAATTAATGATGGTCCTGGAATACTGATACAAAATAAATTAGGTGTTAAAAAATATTTAATATCTGAATATGATCTATGATGACAAAGACTCATCGTCACAATCATGGTGATTATTCAAAAGGTGTAACATCTCTGACCCAATTTAATCGATTTAATCCCATTTAATTCTTTTGTGAAATTTCAATTTTGTCCTTGGGAATAGGGGTACTTTGGTCACTTTAAGAAAAAAAAAAACATTCATTGTATGGCATTACGTAATGGTGTAAGTTCGTGTTAGCTTATGTGAGGCCCTAATTTAAGGTTCGCACAGGGCCTTCAAAATCTCAAGACCGGCCCTGGTGAGAGCCTGTTGGGTTTTTGTAGTTGCCATTAAAGAGGGTTAAGGTCACATTTTATAACTTCATAACCATCACAATTGTTCTCACGAGGAAGCATGTTCCAGCAGAACATTTTTTCCTATTGTTTCTCTCTGACCCTAGAAAAACTAGAAAAAGGTTTTTCCTTGGAAACTTACTTTTTAAGCCAAGGTCAGGCGATCGCCAATGACTATTTGGTCTATTTTGTTGGGGGAAGTCCCGAGTCTCGAATCCGAATTTAAATATCATAAACAACAGTTGTTAGTCAAACGAAAATTTAAATAAATCTGAGACTAAGGTCCATTCACTATTTTGTATGGTCCATGTTGAAATATATTTCTGGTTAATTGTATGATGATGCTCCGTGTACGGGTACGTAGATGCTAATTTGACACACACCGAATAATTCTATAACATCTGCTTACAGAATTGGTGTGTTCCCTCGGTGGGTTTCCGTGATGGACTTAATATCTTCATGCTCTAACTTCTACAATTTGGAGGAATTTGGAACTTGTGATAAGCAGGTGCGCATGCCTTGACTGAAGATTTAGATTGTAAAAAAATATTATTCCATATTTACGGCCATGGTTTCTTCTATATGAATTCGGAATCTGGTTCTTATTTTTCCTGGAAGAAACGGTTATGAATGGAAACTTATTCAGTCGATGACATAAAGTTCCTTTTTAAAACATTCCTTTAACCATGAAAAGTTAGGGAAGACAATACAAGCTCAGAAATCAAATTTCCGTTTTACAAGCAAAAATATATCGGCAGAAATTTGAAGGTATTGGGCACAAATCTTGTCAATCTTAAGAAATGTCAACGTAAAGCATCAATGAATCAACCATTGGTTGATGTGAGTTTCACAATAAATCAACAAATCAACCATTGATTGATGTGCGTTTCGCAATAAATTGCATTATTGCTTTTTCGAGCATGTAATTAACGAATTCTTAGCAAACTTTAGAAAGAACAGAAAAATGATCCAGCCAAATAAAGGGGAAAAGGGGGAGAGATTATAAACATTCTAAACTAAAATTTACACTTTGTGTACAAATTAAACAGTTAAATTACATAATACACTGTGAACCACTAGTGTTTGCTGAGTGAGGCCTTTATTACCGAAAACTTTGTAGAAAACATACCACGCGATGCTTGATCTCAATTGGGGCTATGCTAAGGGGTGCAGCCTCAATATTTTGTTTGGTTCCTTTCCTCTTCTATGTGCCATGCTTTACACAGGCTGCTTACTTGATGTGTCCGTCGTCTGAGGCGAAAAATGTTGGCACTGTCTATCTTTGTAGTACTATTATATCTAATCTTGAACTTCAGTGTTGAGCACAAAGCTGGGAAATTGTATGGTTATGTCCCTAGGAAATGGAAACCAAATTTAGAACCGTGTAACTTTGAGGAAATGTGTTCTGGATTTAGTTGAAATTAAGAAAGCAATTTTCATTTTGGAGCCTTGGAAAGAGCAGATAGTTATATAAGTTGTGCCTTCATGAGACAACTAGGACTCTGCATTGTTAAACTCTTTAGCAAATGAGATTTCTTGTTTCAATTTATTGTCATCTGCTAACTATATTTAACCAATCACAATCAAATTAAGCAAACATCGACACAAGAAATGAGTGCTGGTGAGATTAGTAGGCTTTTGGGACTCACTTTAGATATGGAAGAGTCATATTCTTTATTAGAGATGGATGCTTTGCTACAAATTCTTTCCACTCTTCTTGATCGATTTTCCCGTCCCCTTTTAAATCTGCCTCCACCATTGTCTTTAGAGAAACGCAAGGAATGGTTAGATAGAACAACGAGTAACACAGAACATATATAACACAGTGTAGAATAATCAAAACCTTATCTACAATTGATTCAATAACATCATCGGAAAGTTCCAGATCTGATTCACTCAATAGGGCTGACACCATCTCCTTCACCTGCCATGGAAACATTACCCACAACATGCATAGAGAGGTAGAAAGCATCAGAATTGCAGAAGTTTCTTTCTTTAATAGATAAATAAAAGATGTGGAAATATAAAACTGATTATATTTTGTACAAGCTACAGTTGATACTAACGAAATACTATGGGACATCTCGATATAGCCTACATATAATGAGCATGGGAGAATCACAATAACACATGAAAACTTTGTTCACATACATTGACAACGCCATTTAACTTGATCTAAAAAAGATGCATTGCTTAATCATTAACCATGAGCAAGAGTAAGAACAGTCAAGCACAATAGTTGTGCTCAATTAACTACAATACGGAAAAGTGACCAAGATGAAAATTGCAGGGGATTCACCTCATCACGCTCAATGTAGCCGGTCTGTCGTAGATCATACAATCTGAATGCGACTGCAAAGAATATACTTTAAGAGTTTATTGATCATAAATATGCTGGATTTTGTAGTTGTAAATAGCACAAAGAGAAGGAAATCATGATTTTCTGTCGTGACCAATACATCATACATGATATTTTTTCTGCTTCGGAAGCATTTGGGTGAAAAATACTTAATGACCGAACAAACTCTCCAAATTCAATAACCCCATTACGCTTGATGTCAAACAAGTCAAATACCTGCAATGAGAATATGCTCATTGTTAGAAAAACATCACAAATTCTCAATTGGGTTCAGTTTCTTATTTTGAATATAATTCTTGTGGAAAGTTTCTTATTGTTTACTTTACATATCTCTGCTACATGGTTTGCGTTATTTGTATTGGCTAAAAGCTTGGTTTTCTTTTTCTTTTTGAATGAAAGGTCAAAGTTCATAAAATCCTCACACACTTGACTGTAGCATGCAGCATTTGATCCAAAGTACAAACTCACAAACACAAACTTGAAGAAAATTAAGTAATAATATAGGTTGCACTCACCCTGTCCGCAAAAAGATTCTGTTTACTGCTGCTCTGAAATAGTGCAAGTTGGAATTCTTCCTGTTCTTATCATGTCAAAGATTTAGTGCAAGCCATCTTAAGAAAATGAAACAGTTAAGATTCTATTTCGAGTCTGCAACAATTTCAGATTGCAGATCAAACACTAAGCCATCTCAAGAAATATGTCAGAAGATTGAAAATGCAACCTTAGCTAGAAATACCTTGTGTAGAAGAAGACCATCTTTAATTATGGAACTGCATAGTTTCTTAAACAGATCATACAAGGCCTCCACTTCATTTACTGTAACTGTTAAGGCACCAAAATATAGAAATTTGAGCTTAATCCATACAAACACTAGCAATTAGCAAAGCAAATACACACAAAATTTCAAACAGTAAGCATATGGTGAGTCAGTGATGGCGGTACTATGTGGTGAACCTAGCATCTATGCTACCATCACAGCAGGCGAAAGAGGGAGGAATTCTATGATAACACAATAAAAAGAAGCAACTAAAATTAATAGTAAAGTAATGAACATCAGGCAATAGCACCGCAGTAGCAGAGTGTGTTTTGGCAGCTGCAATATTGCCTAGCATGACCAAGGTGCCAGAAAGGACATGGCACTGCCTTGGAAGAACTTTAACATGTGAATATAAAGGCGCGGACATAGTATATACTTCCTCCTCCCAACTCACAAAGCGAGAGGTTAGAGGAGGAAGGACAATCAGTAATAGAAAACTATATGCACAGCACGGCATCAACACAATGGCTTCATGTACAATGCCAGAGATAATTATTGGAGCATGCAGGCAACTCAATCAACATAAATTTGTTAAAGTTCCACAACAAGTGAAAAACTGTGCCAAGTAATTCGAGCAACTCTCGAGTCTACTACTTACAAGCAGTTTCTGAAGCAAGAATAGTAGGGTCCTCATACCCAAGTCTACGTCTACCAACTCTGGAACTCATCAAGGAAAAGCAGTTGAGGAAACGACGCATGGTCCAATATAAGATTATCAGATGTTTGATCTGCCAGAATCCAACGAAAAATGCATCAAATTAATAGGTATTATGAGCATCAATTTCATCCCATCCCAGCAGAGAAAAGATAACACCACCAAGAAAATGGAGACTGAGCCACAAACTTTCCATGTTGAAATAAAAAATTAAACTACGGTCATGATTGACCCTTAAACAATCAATTTAGGATCAAATCCAGCAAATGTAGACAATATTTTAGACACCCACATCTGCGCAAAATGGGTGTCAATAGTTAGTTAGTAAGCACTGTTTCATAGCCAGGGTCCAAAGCAAATGGTCATGATCTGGATACCAGTACTTTTTGGTGGGAATAAAATATATCAATTATCAATGGCATACTGCTACCATTTGTACAGGGATTACTAGATGAGATCTATCCAGCAATAAAAATTGAAAAAAAAGCACTAATAATAGACTGTTCCATTAATCCATGAAACATAAAAACAAAGTTCGTACCTTGCAGAGCCAAGCTGCAAAAACATTCAGAAAAAGTCAACCTGCAGAGCAAAACAGCAGTGTCTGCTTTCATATCAAGATTTCCACCCTACAAACTCAAGCAAAAACAAACTATTTCCAAAATCTCATTGCACCTTTCTGAAAAACAATAAAAAATGAAAGAAACCCAACATCTACCTAAGTTGACCTCAGCCAGCACACAACAGCAGCATGCAAATTAAACCAGTTTCCCCCACCTCCCCACTAAAACTCCCAAAAGAGACAAAAGGAAAGTAACACTAGAAAAAAGAGATATATGACAGAGAAAGAAGTGTAGATTTTGTTTGGGTTTGAGAAAACTGACCTGGGTTAGTGGGTGTTGGTGCTCTTAAGCTTTAAAAGGAGTTGATGATGATAAAGCTATGCACTTTCCTTCAAAACTAAATCTTCCATTTGTTAGTCTCCTTTGACACAGAACTAGTCCATCTTTCTTCCATTTTTAATTGACATATTCTGCTCCTGACTTTGGTGTCAGATGATTTTAAAATATTCAAGCAATCGCTTTCTGCTACCATCATTTTCTCAACTTGCCTCCATTATTTTCTTTTTCCTTTCGTTTGTTTTTGTTATGGTTTGTTTGCCACGTGCATTCTATACGCGCATGGGCGGTTGTTGTAGATCACACAGGCACAGCAGACAGCACATAATTGACAATCACTTAGATGAAAATCTAATCTCTGGTTACCATTGTTATTGGTTTTGTTTTATTAATATATGACTCGTCAGCAGCAGTGAGCTTTGAATGTACGTGCTTTTCCAAAAAGAAGTCAAAGAAGAGAGCTGTTGGATATTGAACATTTCCCCACGTCCCTCGTGGAAACTGTTTTGTTTAATCACAACATTGAGAAGTATAATCCTATACGGACGAGCTTCCCATGGATCTTGGACGAGCTTCCCATATAATGCCACATCTTAACTTCCACATCTTAAATTATCATATCCCTTACTTTCTATCTCACTCATTACATGATATGTATATATGCTTTTTTTATATAGATTAAATATTGTATTCGAGTGCCTACACCTCCTATTTGTCTCTCTCTCATTGTGTGCGCTAGCTAGCACGTAATGAGAGAAAAGAAATGTAGACGGCCCCTTCGTGATAAAAAAGATCCTCTACCTTCTCTAGGATAATAAATATTTATCCTTAAACTCAAGGCCAAGAGTAAACTTACCTCTTCTGCACTCTTTCTGGTTATTTCTTTGACCACATTGGCATCCTATGAGAGAGATATCCACATAATGTGCATGTCTTGTAATAAAAGGACGGTATTGTGAGAATGTGAATGAGTGAGTGTGGTCTAGTTTTCACCTTACACCGGAACCATAATTGGTAGTATTCAACTAGTGTGGTTTGGTTTGATTTTGGTAAAACAAATTTAAAAAACCAGTCGGTTTGATTTAAACCGATTTCGGTGAGGTTTTAGTTTTTTCGATTTTGGACCGAATTTTATATATATATATATATATTTTTTCAAATTAATTAATTTTTTTACAAATTCCAACTAATATTTTATTTTTTGGGCTTAAAAAATCATAAATTACTCAATTTCATGCAAAAAAAAAAGATGATTGTGTCTAGAAAATAGAGGTGCTTTGAAGTTGGACTTAGGAAAATATTAGTTATGGGATTAGAAATTTAGTATTAGACTTAAATAAATTTTTTTAAAAAAAATAAAAAATTACACAGTCGGTCTAGTCCGATCTAATTTTGTACGGTGTGAAACTGACACTGAAATCGGTTTGAACAGTCTGGTCCGATTCGGTGCCAGTTTGTTGACTTTTTAATCAGCATGGTTTTTATTTTTTCCAATTGTTTCCGTTCGGTGCAGCTTGGTTTTCCGGTTTTTCGGTCTTGATGCCCACCCCTAGTAAAAAGTCTCACAGTAGAAAGTTGAGAAATCTAGCAAAAATTTATAAGAAGTTGGACTATTCTCCCCCATTGCCAATTGATTTTGAGGTAAAACCTCAATTTCCTTAAGGTAAGTCACATAATAGGACGGATGTGAGAAATAACCACACAATGTGTATTTCTGGTAATAGGAAGAGAACCTATAGATCGCGTAGAAGTAAAAAAAAAAAAAAAAAAAAAATTCAAGATAGTTGGGCCTTGGTGGCGGTGCTATGCATGTGGAATTATCTAGGGCCTTGGGCCTCAAAATAAGATAATAGGAGGCGACTGGGCTTACGGACGACAATTATTTTGGGCCTTCTCCGCATGTTGGGTCTAACAGCGCTTCCCAAGTTTCCGAGTTAACTCGCTGGTGTTGATCATTCGCAACGCTCTCTCCCAGAGATACACAGAAATGGTGGTCTCTCTCTTTTCCAGGTAATCTCTCCCCCTCGTTGTTCTGGTTTCCTTGTTACCCGTTTTGACCTTTGCGATTCTAGTTATTTAAATCGCCAGACGGTTGAATTCAACAAGATCAGATTTTAAAAAAAAAAATTTAATTTCTTATTTTGCATAATAATTATTGTTTTATTAGGTTTTAATTTGAGGAGCATGTTCTTTGGAGACGCAATGGAAGTGGATTTAGTTACAAGCAGTGTACAAGAGGGAGGTGCTTTTGGAGTTACTGATACTTATAGCAATGTAAGCTTCAAGATCATTTTCATTGAGCTGTAGCACGTAGTTTCTATGTCATTGAAGCTTATTTTTTATTATTTAGCTTGAATTTGTTGAATGAATGATTATATATGGAAAATGCGTTTCTCTTTTTGAAGAGGTGTGGTGAATGGTTGAACCATTTTCATCTAGTAAGTCAGACATTTGAAGCTCTAAATAAATGTGTGAACTTTGAATTGCTTATTATTGTGTTACTTGTGGATATGCAAGTTTAAGTTTGGTTACTTGGTTTGCTATCATTTTGGGATCAAATTTTTGGTATGTATTTAATGTGCAGGATAATCCTAATTTCGAGGGCGAAACATGTGGGATATGCATGGATGCTGTTATCGATAGGGGTGTTCTGGATTGCTGCCAGCACTGGTATGCCCTTAAGTGTCTGTCTTTGTGTGTGTATGTGGGTGAGAGAGAGATAGATAGAGAGAGATTTGAACAAGTTTTCATTTTTATTATAAAAGTATTCTGTTGCTACCTTGAACTCTTTCCTCTCCCTTTCTATTACTTAATTAAAGGAAAAAAAATAGATGAAGGAAAGTGTTCAAATGTGCTCATAAGTTTTCCAGTAGTCATGTATGATGAAACCTACAAGGTGTATCAATATATTTAGAGGTTCATGTGAGGTGAAGTTATCCTTTGGTTAACACCCTTGTTGTGCAATTATGGTGCTAAAATGAGAGAATGGGTTGCTTTCCATATGTTATATATATTTGACAGATGAAATTTGTATTATGGCAAGGGTTAACATTGTGATTTTTCAGGTTCTGTTTTGCATGCATTGACAATTGGGCTACCATTACAAACCTCTGCCCACTTTGCCAGAATGAATTTCAATTGATCACATGTGTTCCAGTGAGTGATGCAAATACACGATTCTTTGTTTTTCTTATCCTGGTTATAGTAGTAGTTCTTTTAGGTATGGGATAATATAATGGTATTGATATACAACTAGTTGCAAAGAACAATTGTTATTTTGATTTCTACAACTGGCTGCTTTCAATAGGTTTCTTTTTCTTGGCAAATGGAAATTTTATTTTTGAAGTTATCCTATTGTGATTTGATGCTGTTGCAAAGTGATCCTAAAGCATATGAGATTGGTTTGAATGTGAAGGTATATGATACTATTGGGAGCAGAGTGGACGAGGACTCACCTTACAGGTACTTTGGCAATTAACTATAAGATGTTTATGTATATTGGTGGGGCTTCATTGTTCACATTTATACATGGCTTAGACTCATTATTTTGTGGTTTTTACTGCCCATACTATTATGTAGTCTTCTTATGAAATTGACATTCAAGATTCTGTCCAAGAAATTGCAATTGAGCCACTTATTTATTTATTTATTATTTATTTTTATTTTTATTGTGCCTTAGTTTCAACATAGACTAATTTTTCTGTATTCATCTCTGCAGAGACGATGATTGGAGTATTGAAGGAAAGAATAACACCCTCTCATTTCCATCATACTATATTGATGAAAATGTAATCATCTTTACATTTATTCTTCTTTTTAAGATCTTCTTGCAATTCTCATCTTTTCTTTCTAAGATTTTTTTTAGAATTACTGATATCAGATTCTTATTTACTCTATCATTTTGTAGGCAGTTATCTGCTTGGATGGAGATGGTTGCAAAATTCGAAGTGGCTTAGTGGCTATTGAGGATGATTCCAATCTTGATACATCAATTGCTTGTGATTCATGTGACTTGTGGTAAACAATCAGTCAATGTGATATATAATCTTTGTCCGTATAGATAGATATATGATTTTATCAAATATTGTTATTTTCTAATTGCTTTTTGATTTGAATGGAGACAGGTACCATGCTTTCTGTGTGGGATTTGATCCTGAGGGCACATCTGAGAGTACATGGTTATGCCCGAGGTAAGTTACATGTGGATCATTGTTTTGTTCATGGGTGTTGCATTGTTGGTTCTTTTGCTGAGTCTAGTGTGTGAATTTTCCTTAAAACTTCAGTTAATAAGCACTTTTCATGCGTGTTCCGAACCTTACCTCTAAGCTCAAAGTTGTTTAATGGAGATGAATAAGCTGTCGGTCCTTTCTGTGGAAGCTTTGTTCTTGTTATGAAATCCCTGTCTTGTCTTGAGTTTGTCAACCAATAACATTAAACCATCTGATTTATGACTTGAGGATAAGGAGAGCCCTTTATGTATACAATTGCTGCCAAGTAACAATCCTTCTAGGCTTGGACTGATTAGTGCAGCTTTGCTGATCTTTATCTATGCACCTCAGGATTAATAGAGATTTGAATGGAACACAAATTGCTCTGTTTTCATAAAATCCTAGGTCTCCTCTTTTCATTTCTTTAAGACACTGATACTTTTTTAAATTAATCCTGAATTGTGTATTTTCTGTAGATGTGTAGTTGATGAAATCCCGAAAAAATCAGATACAGATTCAGTACAGAGGTCTAACAGCCAGTATGGCCCAGAAAACGCTAATCGTGAATCTTTAGATGAGGATAATATTAGTGGAAAGGTATCTGTAGCTGTGGCTGATAGTGGTGAGACGGCTGTTGTAGTCTCAATGGTTGGAGAAAATCAACGCATCGTGGAGCCAAGTAAGAGAGTTTTGCCAACCGTTGAAGCTGGCAAGGACCTGGAGTCTGAAACATTGGTATTGGCTTCTGAGGATAGCCACAAGTTGGCAAGGCCCACCGGGGAAAGAACTATTACCCAGCCAGTGCTTGGAGCTCAGGCACTAGAACTATCCTTATCCTGCGATACCTCCAATGTACCTTCAAATTCCTTAGCGCAGCAGTTTAGGATGAGTACTGATGGA